ACATTTACCTCCATAATCTGAAAAAGTTGTTTAACAGCTCTAAGAATGATCCCATACTGTTCTTCCAAAAGGCCAGCACTGTCAGTTCCACCAATTGTATAGGTCTTCCCAGAGCTCTGTCATACAAATAAACATTTAACTGATTGAAAAAGTGTTAGAAAACTTCTTCATTACATGTATGTACATGCTATTTCTTGGTATCTTAGGGTTTACCTTGTAAGAAACTATGGAGTTTCCTTAGTTTGTAAACAAACTTTCACTAAAAAATTTTCCACCGGTACACTGTTTTGACTTCAATTTACACATGTATGTAATGGGTTCCTACACCAGAGATGGGCTTTATATTGAACACTTTACCTATAAATATCAAATCACATTTACATGTACACACACCAACCATGACTTTGCAGGATAATTTTGAGCTTACAGCTACAAGACTTGAGCACAGTAACCTCAAGATTTACTAGTTGCTATTTACAAACCTACTGCTATTATGATATTAGATGTGGCAATAAAGCAACAAGAATGAACAGAGCATCACAACAGCACTCACAGTTTGTCCATAAGCAAACACAGTGGCATTATATCCTTCCATACAGCTTTTCACCAATGGTTCCACACACTTTTCATAAACCTCTGTCTGATGACAAAGATTAAAGAAAAACTCTTAAAATCAACAACTTGCCATCTTCTATGAAATATTGAGTTTATTCTTGCATGGAAAAAAATAATCAGACATGAAGTATTTTTCCTTAACTTACCTGCTATATGCTCTTTTCCAAAACCCATTGTGAACTTCCTACATCAGCATTTATTACAAAGTTTGTTTGAAAAGCATTCCCATTTAAAAAAGAGCTCTTTAAATGAACACTCCCTGATGGAACTTAAATCATCCAAATGTGTCCCCCCTCTTTGGCATTTTTCTATACCCTTCTTATTAACTCAAAAAGGACAAGACTAAATCTACTGCAACTGGTACAACATATTCTGAAAGATAGTTTTTGGCTCTTGTGTAATCTATTATTGGTGATCAGGTCTTTTCTTCTGATTTTAGCCCTTCATTTACATCATCACCCGATTTCGCATGTTTGTTATATACACACAGTACAATAAACACGCACATTGTATTAATAATAAATTCATTACCTGACTTGCTTTTGGAGGGAACACATAATCAAATGTGAATCCCCGGTCCTTTCCAAGGATCAATTGAGGCTTCTCTGGAATAAAGCGCACACACTGTGGGACATTGTGGACTTTCTCCTTGCCAACCAAAGGCGTACCTGAGGGCATAACACAATGACATGCTTTGAAAAAATTGCTTAGATATTAACCCATTTGAAGGCCCCTGAATTGCTCCTTACTTCCCATGTAATGCAAAAGACTTTTACTGAGTTTGTCTCTCTTCTGTAACAATGGCAAAATACTCTACACTTTTACATTTTTTCATCAAAGTGTGCCCAAGGCATAAACATTGGAGGATATAAAATGTTATCTGATTATTCCTAGATTTTAATGGCATATTGGTCACATGATGAGTGTAAACCAATTGCACATGAAAAAAAATGTCTAATGATTGTAGTTAAATTGTGATGAGTTACTTTAATAAATCTTCACCAAGGCATTGCATTTATGGGAACTATTGGTAAATGTGACTATCCTGAATATTATCTACCTGCCCAAGTGTTTTATGTCTAAGTGGTAAAATATTTGAAAAAAGTAATTGGGGGTTGCACAGTGATGGGGAAAACATTTTCTTTGACTTTTTAATTTCCATTTACAGGTCCTCACTTCTGACTTCGCAGTGACTCTCTCTCTGCTTCCAATCGAATGAGCCTTGTGTGACATCCAAAAGAACGGCTGCGAAGGATTTTTAATGCTCAAGTAAATTACTTTCAAACACTATTCGATAAAATTAGCCGCCCACGATCTAAAAAATCTACAAAAGTGTTCTTTAGCGGACATGGGGATAAAATTAAATAGTAGGATAAAATAAAATAAATGCAAGACCAACAATAACCCCCCTAACTTAAACGAGCCAATTACAAATTTCTTAGTGATTGCCTAGATATGTCAGATCAGTGCGCTGATTTTCATAGCAACGTACCCGAACAGCAACTTTTACTGGAACTTCTGTCATTTTATCAAGTTCGTTTGCGATCCAGTACTTTTGAATTCCATGAACACAATGCAATTAGTCAAATCTTCCCTCAAAAATTCCTTTTGTAATTTGGCGGTCAAACGGTCTGACATCCATGTTTGTTTATACCCCAGACTCAGCTGATCAGCGGTATAAACAAATAAGCTCAGTGAATGATGGGTAATAAAAACATGGCGGCCGAATTGAAACTGAAAGGGTGAGAGCTGTCTGGGAATTTTCAGCGCACTAAATCATAGAGTGCCTCGCGACTTGAAGCAACGCTTCAGTGATTGTTGCCATAGTTGAGCTATTTCATCAAGAGGCCATCGTATAGACATACGAAATAACTCCAAAGTGGGAACCCCGACAAGGTACAGATCGCAACATATCAGCAACCGCAGACACGTTGACGTCGCACGCAAATGACGGTATGTGGAACATACAAAATACTTAATCGTGCCAGATTTGATACTGCATATCTAGAAGAGGTATTTTTCAATACATTGTCATATTTTCTGTAGTAATTTCCGAGTTCTTTCCAAATGTTATTTTATTTCAATGATTTCTTTATTCTTTTTTTCGAAACTGAAAGAAATTACTTCGGGGATTTTTTAATAATTTACACTCAGATTTTTCCCATTTTCTTATTGAAGGTCTTTCGCTTTTGAACTCGACGTCTTAAAAGATCCTAGGCGAGCTTTCGTTTGCAGAAAGGAAAATCGAAGGAGGAAAGCAGTTCATAACCCTTTGGTCCTTTAACAAAATTGCCTGCTAGTATGTTTCGCTCCTTTTCTCAGCTGTCTTTGAAGAAAGCGAATTGTAAGTAAGATTTTACGAAACAGTTTACTTCCGTTTCCTAGTTCGTTAAAATACCTCGTGGCAAGAGCTGTGGATTTGAGCATTTGGCATTGTTAAGTTTGTTCTGCTCAGGCTTTACGTCCATATGTGTAAATAGAGTATAAATATCCCATTTATCGAAGTTAATCTCTTTCGTGTCAAAGCCATCGCTGGATCCGATTCAATGTTTCTTCAAGCTATAGCATTCTATAAATGTATTTTTGTCTTATGTAAAAGAAAAGCAAAGTGAATCAATTCTAAACTGAGAGATATTGTTTGAAAGTATAATGGCAATGAACCATGAGAAATGCATTTGTTCCCATCAAATTAAAGGTGGTAACTGCCTCCATTACATCTTCTGTCATATCTTTTTTCTGTTTTGGTGTGCCATTCTTGGTGCTTTTGGCTTTTGCATGACAAATGTGTAATTTCAGACAAATTGATATAAATCTTTTTTGTAACTCCTTTAATTTGGGATCCAATTTGTAGAAGTTTTTTGTCCTTCCCTTTAGTCTAACCATTTTTTTATGGATTCAGCCCCACTTTCTTTAACAGTTGAACCCCCATAACTTGAACCCTGGGTAACTTGAGTTCCTGGCTAACTTGAAGCAAAATTGATTTCCCTAGGAATTGCCACATATTTTTACTGTAATTTTAACCCCTATAACTCAAAACCCTGATAACTAAAAGCAATTTTTACAGCCTTTCAGGTACTCTTCTTTGTAATTTTACCCTTGATAACTCAAAGTTAATTTTCACTTTTGCAGACTAATGAGCCATAACATTTTGCACTGGAAATTACTTATAATCTCACTTACATATTATGACAAATTGACCTATGTTTTGTTTTGTTTTGTTTTGTTGTTTTAATGTTCTTACATTGCTAGAAATCTTACAATAAAACAGGTATAAGCACAAAACCTCTTAAATCAAGTTTTTTCTGTTTTTTTTGTCCAAAACCTCTCTAACTTGAAACCCCAATAGCTTGAAATAATTTCTGTTTCCCTAAGTAATTTGAGTTAGCTGGGTTCAACTGCATTTTAACTACCCACACCTTCTTTGTCAGTGCAAGTAAATTCTTGCCTGAAGTTTGATCTTTGTTTAGTTTTTGTACCAAAATGACTCCTCAGATAGTTTGCGAAACTTTTTCCAATGTTTTTTGATCAAAGTAGTGACAAACTTCCTTTTTCTTTTTTTTTTTTCAGGCACCTCAACAGAGGGTAAAAATATCAAAAGTGTCTCAAAATGGGGGAAATAGATGAGAAAGGGCTGAAGGAGAAAGTTGATGGTCTTAGAAATTTCATCTACAGGTAATCAACTAAAAGCACTGACTCGGCCACAGTCAGGAGATAGAGAAATCAGTACTCTTCAGAAGCAGATTGTAAATATTATTGAAAGCAAACCATATCCGTGTGCTCTTAGTGATATTCTGCACAATATTTCCATATCTGCCACTGAAGAAAAAGTGAACAAGTGTATCAATCAACTGGAACAGGAGGAAAGGATCATAAAAGTCCTGCAAATGCCTCCTATGTGGAGAATTGCAGAAACAACCGAGGAAGGCAAGGATGACGATAAAGCGGCAGAAGATATGCCACCCTTGGAGACACTAGTGCCGGACTATGAATCAGATGAAAGTGAAGAGGGGTAGAAACAAAGCGGGTATCATCCACTATTAGTCCTGCAATTAGTCAGAGTAAGCGTCTTCCGATCACAAACCATGGTGGATCTCTTCAACCTAGGCAGTCTATATCTGATCCTCTCTCAAGCCGAAGGGGAAGCGCATCGTTAGCAGGAGGTCCTCCTCCGCCTCCCTCGGCTCATTTCTACAGCACCATGATGTCACAGTGTTCTAGGAAACCAAGTCCAGTTGTCATTGCAGCCAGGCCAACCTTTTTGCTCTACGTCACGTCCAAATCTGCACTCCACAAGGTCTCAACCACCTCGTCCACCGATACAATCTTTAGTTCCACGACCAAGTCGACCTTCAGCGGTAGCATCACGATTTTCGCCACAATCACTCATGGATCTTGAAACGCCCTTGAACTCACATGTTACTTTTAAAATGTCATCAAACTCTGATGCTGTCAACCTACCTGATACACGAAAAAACCGAGGGTATCTTAGAGAGACCAACGCTTTGCAGGAGGACGGAACCACGAGTTCTCTAAACGAGTCATCCAACGTCAGTTCAGTTCCCTTCACACAGCCTCAAGTGTCCCATTCTATGAGTGGCTCCTTTGGGTATGGATCAACTCCACAGAAGAAGCCGCCATTAGCACAACAAGCTCTTACTATGTCTTTCCACAATTCTTCGCATGCTTCAGTAACTCAGGGAGCTGATAGGATTCCTCTCCCCCCTTCAGCGGAACGTTTCCGTGAGCTGGTCAGCCGTGGACCCCAGGCAGTTCCAATATCGACCAAGAGCCCCATAGCTTGTACACCTCATCAAGCTTCAACGCTAAGTGACCTCGAAGCGGGGGTGCTGGACGTAATGAAAAGAGAAAGAAAATCTTTTCAAACTCTTCATTTGGCCCGGCAATTTGGTCTGCACAGAAAGAAGGAGATCAACCCAACTCTTTACAAACTGCAGTCATTGGGCTTGATATACAAGATGCACGAACATCCACCAACGTGGAAGGTGCGTCAAGAAGTGAGTTCTCTGACATTCAAAGGTTTAAAGCCGGTTGAAGTCAGCTCTTCTGCACCTGCCCAGAAAAGAGCATTTCCCACTGCCGATGAGCAAGGACATGAGCAGTTAGGAGCTAAGAAACACTTTCAGCCAGCGGATACTTCTCCGACTCCTTCCGGGAGTGGGGTGGGTGTATTGGGCCTTCCCAGCGAGGAACGCTCTCGCCCAGCTTTAAGAGTAACCCAGTGGCACAACCTGCATCTTCTCTTGGATCAGGAAAAAATCCTCCAGACGTTCTCTCCAATGTCGCTTATTCCGCCATCAACAAAAATCCCGTTAGTGCTCTCAACGAGTACGTGCAAAAGAATAGAATGGAGCTGACGTTCGAAACACTTAGCAAAGGTCGTGCATTTGTGGTTGCTGCTAAGATAGACGGAAAACTATTCCCTTCGGCAGAAGCACGAAACATGAAAGATGCAAGGCGTGAAGCCTCAGATGTTGCTCTGAGAACCTTACTGGGTCGCAATATGAACGAAGGTATCGAAGAGGGATCTTTGGCCATCACTGACCCTTCTGCAAGCGTTTTGAGCAAAGTTAGCACGCATTTTGATCTGATAGCTGCACTTTCACTTCATAAATTCTTGCAGATTGCAGCCTCCATCTCCGAAAAATTTGCTGGTAGAAAGGTTGTGGCATGCATGATTATGAAAAATAGCCCAGAAGACTCTGGCCGAGTTGTTGCCGTGGGAACTGGTAACCGTTGCGTCACTGGAGAGAGGCTGAGTATGGAAGGAAAAGTGGTGAACGATTCTCATGCTGAAATTGTTGCTCGTAGGTCTCTGATGCGATTCTTTTACGGACAATTAAATAGTTACTACGATGGAAATGATTCTATTTTTTGTACCGAAAGAGGGGTCAACGAAGCTTGATGTTCGCGAAGGTGTCTCATTTCACCTTTACATCAGTACAGCTCCGTGTGGTGACGGTGCCTTGTTCACTCCCCGAGAGGAGCCCAACTCTGACCTCTCTGAATACTCCAAAGAGCATAATCCTATATTTACAACCAAGCAACAGGGCATTCTGCGAACAAAGATCGAAGTTGGCGAGGGTACTATTCAATTGATTCATCTGATGGTATTCAAACATGGGACGGGCTTTACGAGGTAAACGGTTACGCACCATGTCGTGTAGTGACAAGATTTGTCGCTGGAACGTTTTGGGACTTCAAGGCGCACTTCTTAGTCACTTCATCGAGCCGGTTTACCTAACTTCCCTGACACTTGGATACTTGTACGACCATGGTCATCTCTCGCGCGCAGTTTGTTGCCGCCTTCAATACAACAGTGACCTCAACGCGCAGCTGTCGCCTCCATATCACGTGAATCACCCGTGGCTTGGTCGTGTTACCGCATACGACCCACCGCGTGAAACAGAAAAGACAAATAATCTTAGTGTTAATTGGTCAATTGGAGACACGGGCGCTGAGGTCACTGATGGTAGAACGGGAGCATGCATGTCACGAACAAATAACAGCCCCACTCCTTCGCGTGTATGTAAGGCTGCGCTTTATACATCTTTCAAAGAAATTGGTACCAAAGTCGGTCGTGAAGACCTGGTGAACGTTGAAACATACAGTGAAGCAAAGAAGATGGCGACTGAATTCCAAAGAGCGAAGCAGATGATGTACGAGTATTTTAGCTCATCGAAGTATGGGTCATGGGTAAGCAAACCCATGGAGCAAGAACTATTTTAGTTTTTCTTCTGTCGTTTGCTCTGCTGCTTTAATATATGATAGACAGTGATTTGGGTTATACTTGATAAAAGCGTTCCAATTGAGGTTAGGAGCTACCTTAAATGGGCGGCCCAGACTATCACGTGATGTAGACGCATTGAAAACGTCAAGAAATCAAGGTGGTGCAGCTCTTCATGACGAGCTGCGTTGCCAAGATTAACAAAATTTAATGGTGTCATATTAAACAAGTCTTTCCAAAACGCAAGCGTCATTAAATACAGTTCGGTGTGTATGATAACTATACAAATTATACAGTTTAGAAGGAACGCTCATTAAAGTTCATGTTATAGTTTTGTCATCATTTCAGTTTCTTTCAATTTTCTAGTTCTGCTATGGCTCATGTGCCCGTTGACGTGTGCATGGGTGTTCATTTGGGAAACTCTATTCGTTTGTGATATGCCCATTGCCATTCATGTCAGAGTTCACGTGACCCAGCGGCTGTTCTTGAGAGAAGCAGTATTCGTTGTTATGAAAACCAAGCTCCACTCCTGTGATTCTCTCAACTCTCGCATTAGCAGCCGCAATATCCCAGCTTTCCTTTCGATGGCGTCTGAATATAAACGAATATTGCATTTTGAGATGTGCTTCTTCACCTTCCTTCACATTCAAAACAAAGTTCTTCATGAACTTTCCTATTGCACCGAGACGGTCGCCAAACTTCATTATGGCAATGACTACGCCGAACTCCAAGAAAATCGCCAGTACACAGAAGGCAATAACAATAACTACTGTCATGAACAAACCGCTCAGATTTATTATCTCAAGCTGTTTGAATGGTTTTAAATCGCAGGTCTTTTTGTTGAACCATCGCTGTTCTATGGTTTCTATTGCCCCATTTTCTTGGTGTTTAAGCACCGCTTGATTGATATCTTGTAGCCATGGTGAAGCCTTTGGCAGCGCTATCCCCAATCCAAAGTTGAAAAGTTTGGTCCAGCTAAACTGTAGGAACAGTCAATGTCGTTATTAGCGACCTGGCTCAATGAAAGATGATCTCCGACCAATCCGTGGATTTCCCTTAAAAGTGAGAAGAAAAATGAGAATTTAAAACGGATAAACCCTAGAAATAAAAATGTGGTGGTAATTCCCTAATTTCAATAATACTAATTGAATTCGGATTTGTTTGGTTAGTTTTTTCCTTTAGTTTTCTTTTTGTGCCTGTGTTTGCATTTCCGTCCTTTTTTCCTTCATGAGGAGCTGTGTCAGAGATTTGTGCATCACTTATCTACCGTCGTCCTACTAGCACTAGCGGCTAACTCAACGCGAGATTGAGGTTTGGTGAGTGCCCTTTACCCTTTCACTTTTTTGTGCCAAGTCTTGCGCATTTTGAAGAAAAATTGCATTGAGACTATGTTGTGGACATGTCAGGATTTGCTGCCCAGCCCCTGCGTACCCCCATTTTGTGATCTTAAAACTAAAAGTCGTTTTATCCAGTAAAAACTTATTTTAACCTTAACTAGGAACTGTAATCCTTCAAAATTCATGAAATTACACGATACTCAAATATTTCCAAAAAGGTGCATAAAGACCTTTTGCAATCGTGATGCTTAATAGGCTTTCAAGATTTACATTATGACCTGTGTGATCACACATCACAACCCACTACATTAGGACTTCAACACAATCAAAGTGTGTTATTCATTACGTATGCGTAAATTATTCTACACGTGCGTACTTGAGAGCAAGTTTTCCCGAGAGAGACATGTGACAATGAAAAACAATGCTCATACATATGCACGAACCGCAGTGGAGTGCGGTTCGCATAATTACACACTTTGATCGCTTTGTTGTCGTCACGAGTTTCAGCATTATACCAAACCTGTTGACTTTCAAGTAACAACCCTCAAAAGCACGTCGTGTGTCGAAAACCACTGCTGAGGCATGCCCAGATTCATGGCTATACAGAAAGTTCTCATTTGTTTACCAACATAAATTCTTCTTGTCTCTCTTTAATTTGCCTTACCTGTTTTTTAATTTTTCAAGGCCATCTGCGAAATTTCTCACAAAATTGACTTGTAAGTTGACTTGGTAAATTTCACGAAACATGTCCTCGCTGTGAAATTTAAAATAGCTCTCTTCTTGGGAATTTTCTTGTACTCCAAGCTTGAAACCGTTGGGCGGCATGAGAGACGGATGTCGAATCTGTAGCAAGTGACAGATATAGAAAAGGCTGTAAGTCACGGTTTCACGGTGACCCTTTCCCTTTTCACAGGCCCGATAAAGAGGTATTAAGGGAACAGTGATTATCTATCCCATAGGAAGGGAGGATTCTGGTGAGACCGCATGGTTCTCAGGGGATTGGGAAGGATCAGTCCGCCGTCCCCAACAGGTTATAAAGAGGTGACCATAAAAATTTGATGCCAATTAACTGGCAATGAGGGGAGATCATAACAATGTTACAGTGCGTTACTATCGGAGAGCAGGTAAATTTCTATCGTGACACAATTAAAATCGTCCAAACACACCTTACTGAAAAATGCCTTACCCAAACACAGTGAGAAGTTATGTGGGAAGTTGAAGTCGAATTAGTGAACATTGATATTGAAATTAGTTTGCTTCATAATTTTTTATTAGTTCATGTTAAAGTTAGCATCAAAAGGTTCGCCAGTCTTTGTTAGAACTGGATAATGATCAGAAAAAATTACCTTTTCGTCCCGTATTCCGCTGATAGGAAGTACAAACTCCTCTTGGACTAAAAAAGCCATTAGATTTGCGCAGTAAGTGTTGACGACAATTAAAGCAAAGAATGCAAAGAATGTAGAGACACATCTTGCACTACTGCTATGGGGAGTCTTTTCAGCACCTATGTCTTTTCCGAACGCAACTCCCCATACGTATGTCATAGAGTCTGTTGATACGAAGTAAGTGTGATGATATATGGTGCTACACTGGCATCAAGATCAGAGCATTGTAGACTACTATTAGAGCTAATACGAAACTTTTTATTTCCACATATGTGCGAAGTGGCCATTCCATCTCAAATAATTTGAATGAAGGATGAAATTTAAAAGGCGCTTCGTTACCATATCACTGTGGTTCTTTGTTGTAAGATACAAATTTCCTCCAAAGCATATGCATACGAGACCAAAAAATAACCGTTTGATGAGAGGGGATATTCCCAAAACGAAAAGAATGTAATGGCAAATGTTAACTTAAAAAGCATAGGAAATATACATAACAACTTAGTTTAAATAAACAAACACAAATAATTTCAGAACTAAGGAATGAGATCAGTTGATGTTACTGAACAGTCTATACCGAAGGACGCTTAGGGAGAATAATAAGTTTAAAGTTGGAACTAGAAATGAAAACAACAACAATAATATACCTAGTAATGTGAAACCATCGTCTCCGCTATCAACTTGTCGATAATGTCCATATGGACTCTTCCGGTCAATCCACCAAGTTACAAGTAAAATGATGTTGATAAATCCGAGTATGAAGAACCACAGTTCATACTGAAAAGGCTCCAGCCAAGAACTCCACTGAATTTCTATGTAACAAATCAGGTTTTATGATAAGCTGAATGACACATGCATTTTGATTGGTTCTTGCCTATGACGTATGGGTGATCATATAATAAGCTGAGTGATGCAAGGATTTTTATTGGTTCAACAATGCAATGTCTCGGTTTTGATTTCATGTTTCCAAATCTTGTAACAAAAGCTACATAACACCTGTCATTAATTCTAGATAGATGACGAATGAACGCAGTACCAAAATTATTTGAGTTTGATTTCTAAAAATTGTTTTATTATCTTTCTTTGTTTATTTGTCCGAAAAAAATTGACTCTAAAGGTCCATCCTGTTGGTGTTCACTCAATTGATAATGGCAAAAATGGTAGGCAGAGAAAGACATCGGTAGTAACGAGTCCTCTTGACAGACGTTTCCCCGCTCATTGGACCTATCAACTAATTTTTAACGGGCTGTGTAGAGTCCAAATTTCTACAGGTATTCTCACGTCAGTCCATGATCAGGTAAGAAGAGTCGTTTTCCTTAAAACCAATTTGATGACAGTTAAGCTTGAAGTGAAAAGACAGTTTGTTGATTGTTTCTACCATGATGATGATTACGATCGTGATTTTTTCATCATTATTATCATTATCATTAATATGTTTGACCACCTTAATTATCCTGGAACATTTTATTTTCATCATTAAACAAAGAAACCTCGTTAGCCTCACCGTCATTTACTCGCAAATCCTTCAAAACCAAAATGTTCAAAGCGACGTGGACAAAAGGTTGAGCGAAGTCAAGGTACTTTGCTCTTATGGAATTTACTGATATGTCAATGGCGAAATCCGCTTGTCCTGATACCACCTCCTGAACGATTCCATTCCACATACCCTTGTTCTCGTCAAAATCGCCGTAGTTACCATCTGGAGTGAAGTAGATCTCGCTCTGAAACCCCAACTCGTTCTGCATCATGACAAGCAGATCGATGGAGACACCCGAGCAACAAAGAGTACTCTTTTTTATTCTGCTTCCGTTGTGATATTTGTAACAAAGTTGTCCTCTTCCGATACAATAGTAACTCCCCCTGCCATCTATGCGAGAGTCCTCAATTTGGACCCAAGGACTGTACTCATTCACAGGAACTCGCACCACATGTGTCATTGGCACAGCAGGTGGGGTGATAGTGCTCCCATTTGGGACCCTTACGGTGTCAAGCGCAAAACCACTCGGCGTACTCAGCCCAACAAGGGTCCAACATTTTGCACCATTTTTATCACCTCGAAGGTTCCATATTTCAAATGATGTCGTTGATTTCTTGTGGAGTGAAGGTTCCACGAACAGAGAACTTAAGCCTTCAAGGTATGAATCTTTTACATTCCTTGCATGTTAAAAAAGAAAACAATACGTGAGAAGAAATAAATTAGCTCCAAGGACGTTTTGGCGTAAAACTGCTGCTGATTACTAAGTTTAACCTTGTAACTTTTACTTATGTCATTTTTAATTCGCCAAAGGAGACCCGTGTGAGAATTGACTAGGACGAAAAGACCTAGCGCTAGATAACTATTTCATCAAACCAAATACTCCATTGCCCAGCCACATGACTTCACAACGATCTTTGTTACCAACTAAAATTATAGCGCCTCTATCGGTGGGAACATAGATACATGTTTTTCGTATTGTCACGAGTGTGTGTGACAACAAAATCTTTCTCCATTTCTTTACTGAGCTCAAGACTTACCATCCTTCTTTCTCTGTTTACAAACATAACGCCATTGATCCTAGCAGTATGCAGGACGCGTGTCATACATTACCTTCGTAATGAGCCTTGCTCACAATAGAGTCTCTGCGGCTCCGTGGTAGAGCATCGGAGCGCGGAATCCGAAAGTCTGAGGTTCAATTCCTCATGGGAACTCAGAATTTTCTTTGTCCCACGCACGTGACTTCCTCTGTTTCTTTACCGAGCTCAAAACTTATCATCTTTCTTACTGTACTTAAGAACAAATCACATGACTGGATGTTGTATCAGTAGCTTTCAGTTCCGTGAAATATACACTTATCCCGGATAAGTGTAGATTTCTCGAGTTAGTAAAATTAAAGTAGAGGAGTTTTCCCTTTTTTTCGGCGAAACAACTTACCTATAAATTAGACTCCCAATATCTCCATTGTATTCATAACAAACATTTTCAGTAATCTGATGTAAGTCCATCCCAAGCGCTTTTTGCAATGCAGCTTGATAAAGGAGAAGAGCATCGTAAATAGCGTCTGAGTAAAAAGTAGAGTC